GCCATCATTAATTCTGTTTATTTACTTGAGTAAATGTGTGTAAATCTGTATTTATTCCGTTTTTTTAATTAATTAAAGTAATATTATTGACTAATATGAAAATGTTAATCAAATTTATGTACAATGCAGTTTGTAGTCATATTTTCATATTTGTATTTTAGTAGAGATATTATATGAAAGACATGCTTTGTTTACCAAATAAAGTCAATCTAATTGGATTTGCATTTTAAACATTAAATAAAAGTTAAAAAGGTATTACTTTCTATTTCATATATTAAGGTTTTAGTTATAATTCTCCCAAAATCATTCCGCAGAAATCCGACTTTTACCAAAATTCTCCGCAGAAATAGCAAAAAACGTCTGCAAATTCCGTCTGGCCCTAGTCTTAAGTAAGTAATTAATGTATATTTATAGTACATTTATTGTGTATTTCCATACACCCAAAGTGATTTACAATCGAATAAGGATGTCTCTCCACACCACCACTATATTAAAGCAAAACTAATCAAGCCTATGCTTATTACCAATGTCCTCTTAAAGCAACAGTATGGAAATCAGACGATGATAGTGTATGGAGATCTCAGAATATGTCCAGGTAATTCTATATGAGATTTTATGTAAAGCCATCTGTAAAGTCTTTACTTCTTATGTCACCTCTTCTTCCCATATAAGTTTTCACAGTGACCTTTCTTATAGGGGCAACTTTTGACCTTTATATCGTAGACACCTCTTTCATCCAGGGATTCAGATTAGACTGGAGAGTATAAGGTCAAGGATGCTGAGCTGTGGTTTCATCTCCTGTCTTCCCATTTAGATTTTGATGCCTTGAATACTGACACCTTCTTGTTAAACTGTTTCTGCTGCTTAATTCTTCATATACCTGTTAAAAAAACATTGCAAGGCCTGTCTTGTGATGAGACTACAGAAAGTCCTTGGTGACATGGGCCTACTCAGATTGATAAATAATCCACCCAATTACATGAAATATATATATATATATATATATATATATATATATATATATATATATATATATATATATATATATATATATATATATATATATATTATATTATTAGATTATTAGATTATTATTTTATTTTTTACATATTATTTAAAAGTAATAAGATTCTGGGGAGCGATCATTATGACTGTAAGACAGACCAATTGGTCACTACCCACTGTATGCACCTACTGTACCATATCTGTAATCCTGTTTAGAGCTTATTGATCGAATGTCCCATCACATTTAAATGTCATTAGAAAACAATGCATTATCGTCATTTCCAGTGCAACCAGATCTCAGATATCCTTTAGCAAATTAGCTTGTAATGCTACCCTACAGTATAAGGATTATGCAAGATCGTCTTGTTTTGTTTAGTTTGTCGTTATTTTCATCAATAACTCCTGCTCTAAATTAAATTTAAGGGATCTTTGGTAGCGTTGTCGCTTCACAGCGAGAAGGTTGCTGGGTTGAGCCTGGGCTGGGTCAGTTGGCATTTCTATGTGGAGTTTGCATGTTCTCCCCGTGTTCGCATGGGTTTCCTTTGGGTGCTCCTGTTCCCCCAACAAATCCAAAGACATGTGATATAAGGGAATTGGGTAAGCTAAAGTGACCGTAGTGTATGTGTGTGAATGAGAGTGTATGGATGTTTCCCAGTTATAGGTTGCAGTTGGAAGGGCATCCGCTGCGTAAAACATATGCTGGATAAGTTGGTGGTTCATTCCACTGTGGGGACCCCAGATTAATAAAGGGACTAAGCCGAAAAAGAAAATGAATGACTGATCTTTGGTAATCTTTGGTAAAGCTGTAAACCAAAAAACAAGTATTGTACTTGTTTGTTTCGTCTCAACCTGAAACAATTATACTAGTAATTTGCAACTTGAGACCATTTTTCATTTTTACAATTTAGGTGTACATTTTTGATTCATTTATTTGTCCTTTTTCCATTTTAGCCAAAAACCATTTATGCTATTTTTATATATACCGTTATGTACAGTAATAACTAGCTTTAGCTTGATAGACAATACCGTAATTCCCAACCTCTTTCACCAATGTCCATTTGCTTTAAAGTTTGTAGTCTCTACAATGATGTAAAATGGATTTAATTAAATCACATTAATGCAATATACAGCAAAAGTTAAACTAAACATGTCATTAATTGCTTTGTTTAATGAAATAAAAAAAAAAAGAAAAGAGAACTGCATTAATTGCCATCCAAAAGTTGTAGACATGCATATGTACATGTTATGCCAAATTAGGACCTGCATTTTTTAACTGCTAACTTTCCGTTTGGTTTTTGATCTGTAATTGAATCCCTGTTATAAAATGTACATAATTTTAGATGGTGATGATTCCAATCTATTTGAATAGCTAGCAGTGATGAAGGGTCACAAAAGGTCAACATGTTGCATGTGGTCTCCTCACAAATGCAGCGTTATTAAAGATGCACTAAATGATGTTATTTTTAATAGTTCTGTTCTCATGGGTGGATTTTAACCAAAAATCAAGGTAAGCGGCAGCTTATGGCATCAGGAAAACTGAGGCCCCCAAATAAAAACTTAGAAGTATAAAGTATACCTATAAATTATATATAACATCATTTTCTATCATATTTTGTATGATGAGGATCTAAAAACAAATAAGTTTGTTTATTAAATTGCAAATGCACAAATGTGTCCCCCACCCTCAATCATGGAGCAGTCCAGCAGTCAAATCAGGTAAAGATTTCGTTTTAGTTATATCATTTATAGTTGTGAATCCATTTTAAGAAAACAAATCATTTAAATGTATTACAAGATGCTTTAAATGTTTGTAATTATTATTTTGCATTAATACAAAACGTAAAAATGGACATTATAAAAGTGATATAAGAATAAAAACTGCCAAATAAATCAATTATGAATAAATTAAAGTTCAAAAAGTGCATTTTAGAACTTTCAGGCCCCATGGCTGGAATAGCTTAGGGCCCCCAAATCACCAAATCCGCCCTTGTCTGTTATGATGCAGTGTCATGCATGGACTTGCTTTTGCTTTAGCTCGACATGCATGAACTTACTTTGGGGTCTTTCTCGTAATAACTCTGCTGTGTTCTGATCCATCTGCCTACCAAGTGGTCTCTGACTGTGTGCGCGAGCGCAAAATAATAATCCCGTTTGGTTGAAACGTTCCTGTCCTTCACCAGCGTGAAATGCAGGTGGCGATTGAAGTTTGTCTTTAAGTCTGCCACATTCTCCACACCGGCGAGCCCCCTCACAGAAATCTGCTTCTTCCTGTCGTGGTCTGACAGTGGTTTGGACATGGTGACAGCAGACTCGTCTTTGGTTCAGGTAAGTGGTTTAACACCAGACCGCACACAGAAGCACCCCATTCTCCGCTGACGGCTCTGCCTATTTAAAGTTACCCTCATGAATATTAATGACGGGGCGGGGTCGACCTGCAGCTCCACACCTATTACGCTTATATAACAAGTAGTTAACGCGATTATACAAGAGGAAATGGTGTTTCTTTTTTTACGTAGGTGCGAAATATATATATATATATATATTGGAAGTGTACATTTCTTTAAAAAATCCTTATTATGAGTTGAACTACAACTCCTACCAGGCTGCAGAGCTCGAGCTCGACCCCAAGACATTAATAGCCACCATGACCCAGCGAAAAGGCCATGATATTTGAACGGTATGTGGCTCACATAATTGGATATAACAGCTGAGCAGACCACATCTATTCTCCGTCTTGTTGAATGAATGGATCTGATCATTCAAAGCAAAATGTGTTATATGTAATTTATTACACACACTCATTAGATTATTTCACCCAGGAACCAACATATCCAATATTCATCCAGTCATACATTAAAAGGAGCATCTTTGATAAGATTGCACAACGCGTATTACACCATACACAATTATATAACTGGAATAGTGTGCTTTTTGCAATATATTCGCCTTAAAAGTAGACAGCACAAAAAAAAAAAAAAAAGTAAGATAACATAAGATGTGCTGTTTTTTGTTGTCTAAGTTTATTAGTTTCTTCATTGCAGCTAATAATAACCATCGAATTTATTTATTAGCATAATAGCTATTTTTTTCAGAGAAATACTCAAAAATATTTATTGATTAACATAATAATAATTAAACTTTTTTTTTTGTTATTTTATTTAGTGCATTTCTTTGCAAATGTTTATTTCCACTGCACCATGATTTTATATTCTATATTGTACATTATTTCTGTTAAGTGACAAGACATTTGTCTTGATGACATGATCATATTTTATTTTGGTAAAATAAGCATAATCTGGATGCATTTGCCTTTCATATCAGCCACCTCTTACACCAAAAGATCAACTAGAAGTCAAATTATTATTTGTTGTTCCTAAAACTTAGGCAGCAAGTCTTTTGTCAGGTAGTGTATTTTGCCTTTACTTCATCACGCAAAGGGTTTAACTTACAACATTGTTTTGAAACATAGTTTATATTGAATTAGATCATAAGTATTTATAATTCATAAATCCCCTAACTTGTGTAAAAGAAAGACTTGGATTAACTGTATGGTTTAATGAGTTCTCAAAATAAAAATTTAACATAATAATGTTAAATGAACTGAAATGAAGAAAATCAAATAAGTTTTACCGTAATAAGTAGTTAATAATAATTAAGCAAAGAAAATACAATAAATAGCATTTTTAGCATTTCTGGCCTACTGGTGGTTTGTTACGTGAACCTAGAATTGGTGCAGTTGCGAGGTACACACCTAACCCCACCCTTGAGTGCATTGTGTCTAGTATTGCATCTCTGAGATATGCAGTCTCAGTTTGCAAATCCAAGTCTTTATCCAGAGACTATTGGATAACCAGGTGTGTATGTTTTAAAGTGTCCTTTTTTTAAATGTATAATAAAAACATAGGTATGTATATATTGTTTTATTTAAGTGCCCTTGAATAGTTTTTGGAATTATAAAATTTATTTTTAATTAAAAAAAATGACAGTCCACTCTTTATCTTTCAACCCTTTTGACGCAGGTTATTGGCATTTCTGGGTTTTTAATTCAGGCTTCAGCAGCAGTGGGAAACGAGACTGTTTGACACCTTGCGGCCACTGAGAGGAGCCAACACAGCACTGTGAATTATGGGTAAATCTTGAGCCTTTTTTTTATCAAAACTTTTTCTTGCCAATTTAAGCAAACACAATCACCTGCTAGAGATCACAGTCATCCTTAGTTATTTTTAAAACTCCTATAGTTAAAAACTCCTTATAAGCAAAAATTCCAAAAGTTTTATTGTATATGTTCTCATTTAGTGTATTTATACTTAAATACAGTTTTTATCTTATACAGAAGAAGTACACTGTAAAAAAGGCAGGGTGTCCCCACAAAAATCTCAAGAATTGTGTTGTTTTAGCACATTTTATAAAAGTAGTTGTGTAGTGGCATAGTAGGTAGTGTTGTCGCCTCACTGCAAGAAGGTCGCTAGTTCGAACCTCGGCTGGGTCAGTTGGCGTTTCTGTGTGGAGTTTGCATATTCACCCTGCATTCACGTGGTTTTTCTCTGGGTGCTCCGGTTTCCCTCACAGTCCAGAGACATGCTTTACCGGTGAATTGTGTAGGCTAAATGTCCGTAGTGTATGAGTGTGAATGGATGTTTCCCAAAGATGGGTTGCAGCTGGAAGGGCATCCGCTGCGTAAAAAACGTGTGCTGGATAAGTTGGCAGTTCATTCTGTTGTGGTGACCCCGGGTTAATAAAGGGGCTAAGCCGAAAAAGAAAATGACTGAATGAATATAAAAACACTAATATACTGTATTATTTGAAGATAAAAACATAGAATGAATTCCATTTAAAAATGAAACAGTAAAGGTGATGTAATTTCTTATTTTATGAATTTCAAATAAATCCTGTTCATTTTAACTTTAGATCAAATGTATCAAATTACACTTAATATTATTTCAGTCCTTTGCAATGAATTATTTCTCAGTTTCATATTCTGCTTTTTGAATAAATTAGTCTTAATTAACCATGTTTAAAAACTCAATACAAAAATAGATCTCATATTTTCCTTCACCTTTTTTAGTGTGAAAAAAATAAGTGTTAAAACATTACCAATGTTACTGATGGAATGTTAACTGGATAAAATATACATAAAATCATATTGTACTTCATCTTGTTATTCTAGGCAATATTACTGTTTGCAGAGAATGAAGAAAGTGTTACTTAAGGCAAGATGCTATGGACAAAAAAAGCATCTTTTTTGCATATTTTTGTTTTTCATAAAGCACATTATCATTCAAATGTAACATCCAAATTACACTTTTAAGTGTTTATTTTGTTACACTTCATTCATTCATTTTCTTGTTGGCTTAGTCCCTTTATTAATCCGGGGTCGCCACAGCGGAATGAACCGTCAACTTATCCAGCACGTTTTTTCGCAGCGGATGCCTTCCAGCCGCAACCCATCTCTGGGAAACATCCACACACAAACACTCATGCACTACTGACAATTTAGCCTACCCAATTCACTTTTACCGCATGTCTTTGGACTGTGGGGGAAACCGGAGCACCTGGGGGAAACCCACCTGAACGCAAGGAGAACATGCAAACTCCACACAGAAACGCCAACTGAGCCGAGATTCGACCCAGCGAGCTTCTTGCTATGAGGTGAGATCATCAATAATTAAATATTTTAAAAGGCTGTTTTCTCAAAAGAAAAACAAATTCTACTGCATTGAGCAATACATCTCCGTTTCAGCAGCACTTACACCAGACTTCATAATCATAATTGTTTGTTTGTTTTTAAACAGGGGATATACACTCACTGACCACTTTATTAGGTACACTTGCCCAACTGCTTGTTAATGCACATTTCTATTTAGCCAATCACATGGCAGGAACTCAATGCATTTATGCATGTAGACATGGTCAAGATGATCTGCTGCAGTTCAAACCGAGCACCAGTATGGGCAAAAAAAGGTGGTTGAATGTGGCATGGTTGTTGGTGCCAGGCTGGTGTAATTATTTCAGAAACTGCTGATATACTGGGATTTTTACGCACAACCATCTATATGGTTTACAGAGAATGGTCAGAAAAAGAGAAAATATCCATTGAATCCCAGTTCTGTGTGTACAAATGCCTTGTTGATGCCAGAGGTCAGAGGAGAATGACCAGACTGCTTCAAGCTGATAGAAAGGCAACATTAACTCAAATAATTAACTCAAATAATCGCATCTCTAAACGCACAACATGTTCAACCTTGAGGCGGATGGGCTACAGCAGCAGAAGAACACACCGGGTGCCACTCTTGTCAGCTAAAAACCGGAAACTAAGGCTACAATTCGCACAGGCTCACCAAAATTGGACAATAATAGTCCAATTAGTCTTTGGTCTGATGAGTCTCGGTTTCTGCTGTGACATTCAGATAGTAGGGTCAGAATTTGGCTTCAATAACTTGAAAGTATAAATCAATCCTGGCTTGTATCAATTGTATTTTTTTGGCGCACTTTGGGCCCATTAGTAAACCAATTGAGCATCATGCTAATGCCACAGCCTACCTGAGTATTGTTCTGAAGACAAAAGGGGTCCAACCTGGTACTAGTAATGTATACCTAATAAAGTGGCCGTTAAGTGTATAATCATACATAGTTTGCATAACTTTTTATTTTGCAAAAAACGTTTGTTAAAAGTTTTAAATATAATATGTCAGTAAATAAAGACAAAGTGACATTTAAAGGCTTAACTAGGTTAATTAGGTTAACTACGCAGGTTAATAATAATAATAATATTTTTATATTTCTATATTTTTATATTTTTTATATTTTTTACTAATAATATTTATATTTATGACTTCAACTGTATATATATTAGAAATTTAAAAGCTTAACCAGGTTAATTAGGTTAACTAGGCAGGTTAGGGTAATTAGGCAAGTTATTGTATAACAATAGTTTGATCTGTAGACTATCGAAAGAAAATAAAGCTTAAAGGGGGGTAATAGTTTTGTCCCTAAAATGGTGTTTAAAAAATAAAAAATGGCTTTTATTCTAACCGAAATTAAACAAATTATACTTTTTTTCAGAGGAAAAAATATTTTTAGACACACTGTGGAAATTTCCTTGCTCTGTTACACATGAGTTGGGAAATATTGTAAAAAGAAGAAATTCAAAGAGGGCTAATAATTCTGACTTCAACTATATATATATATATATATATATATATATATATATATATATATATATATATATATATATATATATATATATATATATATATATATATATATATATATACAGTATATATATATACTGTATAATTAAATATTTTGTATTTTCTCACACCAGGTCCTCCACCCTTTTTTGTTGCTATAAAAAAGCGCTGAAAGATTTCAAACAGGAAATGCAACAGTTGATTTCTCAACTGACAGGAAGTGTGTGAAGCCACTGAGGCCCTCTGTGGTTTTGGTAGAGGCACCACTGAAGCCCTGCGTTCATCAGCACTTCTCTTCTCTTCACTCAAACCTGCGCTCTTCACTTTTTCACCACTGATGCCTGGTAAGTTCTTTTGAAAGCTAATTCTAAGGCTTTTATGTGTGTGTGCATTTTTTTTTCCTATAGATCTTTTTTCTTCTTCTTTTATGCACCTTGTTTCCCTCTGGATGAGTCTTGTCCGTCATGTCATCCATGTGTGACCAGGATTTGTGTGCTTTTGATGAAAATGAAAACCCAGCGACGCCTCTCACATCTCAGCCATTCTTTGCTTTATTGATTCTGCTTCGTTTTCAGAGCGAAAGAGCGAGGGATCAAAGAGAGGAGTGTAAAATTAAGGAGGAGGAAAGGATGGAGAGCGTTTCGTGGGATCAGCCGGCTAGTGTGGTGGAGCTGGTGGAGGCTTGTATCAAAGCTTTCGGTCAGTTCACTTCTCCTCTGCTCTGCTCTGTAAACACATAGTCAACTTCAACTGTATTTGTCAGACTGTGGAGAAGCAGCAGGGATTGAGTGATGCGGTTTAGACTTGACCAATAATAATATACATTTAGTATTTCAGAAATGAACACTGTAAAAATGCTTATTTTATCCTTTTTACAAAATTAAGTTGTCCCCCCAAAAAAACTTCATTTTACTTCAACTTTAACTTATTTTAAATCAGTGGAAATCATTGAACAGCAGCTAAATATTTTTCTTTGTGTGAATCATAAGTTAGTGGTAAATTTCAAATGGCTTCTATTTAATTCAATTAAAATTAAGTATTCAAATTAAATTTTGAATAAAGACGAACATTTGAAATAGTGTTTTCCAGTATTCTGCTAATCTGTCATTTCCTTAAATGTTTTTTGACAGAGATAAAATCATTTTTTGAGTGTATCATATTTAAGCATTTTGTATCATTTAAATTAATACTAGATTGATTTAACTGAAAATTACTGTAAAATGACGTTAACAGAATGCTTTCTATCCTCCTCTCAGACAATGAAGGTGTCCTAAAGGATCCTTCTCTCGTACGAATGTTTCTCACCATGCATCCCTGGTACCTTTCATCCAGTGACCTGGCCAAGAAGCTCCTTCAAAAGTATCCTTTCCACAGTCACATTATACTTCCAGAAAACTGTAAAGAACCAGCATTAATGTCAAATGGCTGAAAAAGAAATACAAGTCTTTGTGCATTTTTAGTTTCGCCGCTGACAGGCCGGCTTTTATGCTAGACATTTAGCACTTAGCGGAGTGGCTCATGGGTGAGGTTTGTCATTTATAGAGGAGGTCGACAGCATCACAAACTGTTTCCATCACTCTCCTCACAGCCGATAATAGTAATGAACTTGAGCTGCCTTGACAGTATTACAGGTCTCAGCAACAGGATTGTTCTGCAAATCGCCAGTCGCAGATTTGTCACCTTGTCAAGTAGGTTAAAATCTCTTTTGTTCATCTAGTTTTTCTGAAAAAAAATAATAAAATGTGCTGCATGACTGAAAGCATGCAGAGAGCCTGGGCTTGAATATAGTTATGTTCACTGCTAACAGGTGGATGAAATCAGGAGCTAAATGTATCTTATTTAAAGTTACTATAAAAGGTTGTTTCTACTGCTTTTTCTCACAACTCTCACATTGTTTTTACTTGCAATTCTAAGAATAAAAAAAAAGACATGTTCGTGAGATGTAGACTTTAAAGTTTAGAGCAGGGTTCACCAATCCTGGTCCTGGAGGGCCGGTGTCCCTGCAGGGTTTAGCTCCATCTTGCCTCAACCCACCTGCCTGGATGTTTCAAGTATACCTAGTAAGACCTTGATTAGCTTGTTTAGGTGTGTTTGGTGACCAAGTTTGGTGACCACTGGTTTAGAGGGAATTGAAATTGTACGTTTATAAACTTGCAACTTAGAATTCTTAAAATATTGAGTTGACAGCTCACTGTTTTTGTATGTCTCAGGATTTTGGCTATGATCTTGCAATTCAAATGTATTCATTGGAAGTTAGAGTTTTTTAGTTTAAGTTTTGAGTTTACAGCTTGCAATTTTCTTTTTTAAATTAAGAGTTTATTTCTCACAATTTTTGACTTTCTTTTGGTAAACTGGGACTAAAAAGTCCAAGTTTACATCTTGCAATTGAGATTTGTTCTCTCAAAATGTTTTAGAGATTCTGATCATGCTTCATCTCAAAATTCTCAGTTTACATATTGCAATTCAGATTTTTTTTCTCCCACAATCATTAGTTTACATTTCCCCCCTCAAAATTAAAAAAAAAAAAAGTTTACATCTAGGATTTCATTATCTAAGAGTGTCTCTTCAAATTCTGACTTTTTTCCCTCACAGTTCTGACTGTGAATTTATAACTTGTAGTTTGAAATTAATCTGCTGATATAAGGGAAAAAGAAAGAAATGTGACATGTTTACTTGCAACCATGAGATTATAACCACAACTGTAAAGCATAACATCACAATTTTAAAAAAATAAAGAAATAAAAAGAAAGAAACATAATATAACTCAGGTACTCACAGAGCTGTGTTTGGAATGGTTCCTTCAAAAGTTAGTTTATGCTATTCAGTTTAATTTATCTTTATTTCTTTAGCGTTTTTACAATAGATTGTGCAAAAGCAGCTTAACATAGAAGTTTTAGTAAATTGAAACTGTCAGTCCAGTTTTCAGAGTTGAAATGGTTATACTAGAAATAAAAAGCACCCATCACTTACTTACCATAATGTCATTACAAACCGAAGGGCTAATATTTTAGAATAAATTCATTATATTAAATATTTTTTATTTATTATACTTAAAATATCTTATAAGATATTTTAAGTGTAATAAATATAACAATATTTTAATTAAATATAAAAAATTTCTGCCCCTCTAGTGAAAGACTATTCACCCAAAATGCTTAAACTTCGAAACATTCATAAAAGAACACAAACAACTTGCATCTTAAACCAATTTTAATAAGCCTTCCATTCATTCATTTTTCTTCGGCTTAATCCCTTAATTCATCAAGGGCCACCGACTTATTCAGCATAAGTTTTACAGAGAGAATGACCTTCTAGCTGCAACCCAGTATTGGGAAACACCCATAACCTTTCTAGTTCACACACATACACTACAGCCAATTTAGTTTATTCAATTCACATATAGTGCATGTCTTTGGACTGTGGGGGAAACCGGAGCACCCGGAGGAAACCCACGCCAACACGGGGAGAACATGCAAACTCCACACAGAAACAACAACGGACCCAGCCGGGACTCGAACCAGCCACCTTATTGTTGTGAGACAACAGTACTAACCACTGAGCCACTTTGCTGTCCATGAGCCTTTCATTTGTATATATTTGATGCTCAGCCAAACCTGCTTGACAAGCAAGAATAAATTTGCCTTGTGACAATTAGTATTGAACCTCATTGGTTCTCACGCATCAAGCAAGCAAGATTGAGTTTCTGTGAACAAATCTAAAAGATTAAGAATAATCTGTTTGCTGATCAGTGTTTACTAAATCAATTCTGTTCATCTTATACTGTAAAGCAAACATGTCTCTTGATTAGAATGGGATTAAACTGCTCAATTCAAATGGATTAATTTTTTGATCTTAAAATGGAACAGACATCTGTTGGATGGACAGAAATCTATCAAATCTAATTAAATATATCTTGATTTGTGTTCTCATTATGGGCCTGTAATGTAAAGAAGAACCTTTTCTAAAATGTTATATTAAAACCTATATCTATGATATTATTTATTATTTCAGTTAGTATGTGTTAATTTGCACTTGTTTCTTGCACAAAAACCTAAACATCAAAATAATTGTAACTTTTTGACATATTCGAGTCAAAAGATTTTAAAGAGGGGATTTTGGGAATCTCTTTTTACCACTCCATAATTCATAAAAACTGAAAAAACAGTAAAAAAGAGAAAAAAAACATCATTATCTTAATGCAGTGTTTCCTCTAGGCTTTTTCCAGCTGTTGTGGCAGGCCTTTTACACAGATTTTTTAACTACCTATGGTGTTATTTCAACGACAAATGTCAAGAGCACATATTACAAGTCAAGATCGCATTTATGTAATACGAGCATGCTAGTCTCTTTGCTTGTACACGGATTTCCTTTGTTTGTGCACAAAACGTCTTGAACGCCCTCAAATATACGCTGCTCAAGCTGAGATTTTCTTGTGCGCCTCAAATAAATGCTGCTGAAGTGCGATTTAGTGTGTTTATGTAGCGAGGATTATCTCCAATATTTATTAGATTTGCTAGGATTATTTATGAATTTCTCCAACAGACCTACAGAACGACGTTAATGTGTCCAAAAGTAAAGTGAAATGGCTATAATCCCCAGCAAGATAAACTCTTTGTATGCAGAACCACAGACCTTTATCTATAAATAAAGTATAATTATGGAAACTGTGTTAATCATAAATGAAAGCAAACCTGCCCTCACGCATCACACAGCCCTGTCAGTCATTCAGCATGTAACCCTAAAGGGTTAAACAAATAACACACAGCACTACTATGATTAAAGAAGAGTTTGCTCTGTTATAATTCACTCACATTTTGGTGCGACTATAACCCGCTATTTTAAAAAAAACAACAACTGAAGCTTTAGAATGAGAAGCAGCAATGTAGCTGTGGTGGAGAATAAATTTTGGTGTGGCGTCCCACCATGGAAGAATGAATGTAGCGGAAACCATGTGCGTGCGTGCGTGCGTGCATGCATGCGTGCGCACGCGTGCGTGTGTGTGTGTGTGTGTGTGTGTAAACGTAACATTCTGTAGTGCATTTAGTTATTGTTTAAGGCCATTTCAGTCATCATACATTAAACATTCATCATCTTCTCATCAGTGACATGCAGTCTGAACAGTCTCTAATTCATTGTGCATGATTTTGGAAATCTTCTTGGACAATTTTAACGCATCCAAAAGGTTAGCTGCATTTATGAAGTGTCTATGTCTTGAGGTTGTTCTGTATGAGGCAGTTTAGTTTCTATGTGCGATTTGATTGGACAGGAATCACAGATTTTTCTACTCACAAAGAAATAAAGTGGTGACTGCAGATTAAAAGAAAATTATGGAGTAAAAGTACTGATACAGCACTAAAAATGTACTTCAGGGAAAGTAAAAGTACACATTTTTAAAACTACTTAGTAAATGACAATTCCTATGAACAACTACTCAATTACAGCAGTTTGAGTATTTATAATTTGTTACCTTACACCACTGATACAATTGTGAGGTCTGCTGGATGAAAATGTTGCTAAAATGGACATTTTTGGCTTATTACACGACAAAAATCACTTTGACAAGAAAGCAAGCTGTAAAAATATGTAATCTATATTTTCTTTAGACTGAAAATAAAAAAAAAAATTAAATAAAAAAAAAATTGACCAGCATAAAACTCCCCATCATGAACTGTGTTTTGTTGAGATTTCCACTAAATGGTCCAGCAGTCTTCATAAAGATGTGGATGATGTTCTTTGTCATGAAGCAGATGTGTCAGATCACGGAGGTGTTTTGTGAAATCACATAAAGCTTTTTTAGACAAGACTATTCAGGAAAAAAAAAAAAACCTCTTGGCCAGACCTATTTCATGCACAGCGACTCGGTGTCAGAGCTGCTCTGTTTCTCTCTGTCAGGTACTGGATATCAGAGTTTCCAGCCGAGTTTGACCTGAACCCGGCGCTGGCTGAGCAGATCCGCGGTTTGAAGGAGCGACTGGAGCAAAATGGAGACGTGAGGCGCAGTTTGCTCATCGACATTGACAGCATGTGAGTCACAAACTCTACTCAACTACTGATTCCTTGAGACGGAGGAGCATAGAAAGTGTGTTGAACTTCACTGAGAAGCTGCAGGAAGTTCTTAGGTCAGTGATAGAATAAGAATATCAAAGATGATGGCGAAGTATCTAATTGTATATTGAATGCATGTTTCTTTTATAGTTTTAAGATTGTATATATATATATATATATATATATATATATATATATATATATATATATATATGAATTTTTTTAAGACCACTAGCTTATGATTTATGTTTAATATTTAAGTGTTTTTATATGACAAATATATTAATGACAGTTTTTTCCCCCCATATAAAATACAAAAATAACTTGCTATGTTTTCAGACTTGTTCATCTTTAGACAAAACAATATTATTGTTTTATCTTCAGGAGTGGAATGTGGCAACAACATTTAGTTGAATAACCCTCATTTTCAGTTTAAATAAATCATCCAACAAAATGTCATTTTCTGTATAAAATAATAAAAACAAAATAAAAATAAAAATAAAAAAATAAATTAAATAGATAAATAAATAAGCAAACAAACAAATAAATAAATAAATAAATAAATAAGTAAATAAATAAATAAAAAAAAAAAATAGGGCGACGCAGTGGCGCAGTAGGTAGAGCTGTCGCCTCACAGCAAGAAGGTCACTTGTTCGAGCCTCGGCTGGGTCAGTTGGCGTTTCTGTGTGGAGTTTTCATGTTCTTTCTGCGTTCTCGTGGGTTTCCCCTGGGTGCTCCGGTTCCCCCAAAGTCCAAAGACATGCAGTACAGGTGAATTGGGTATATATAAACCACGATTTTCACTTTCACTTTTTTTCCGCGATTCCTTTCTTATGCAACTCCCTAACCCTCTTCACTTTCATCATTTTCACACTTTCAACAATAACTCATTTCTAATAACTGATTAATTTTATCTTAAATTATAAATTTAATTAACTGGATTATAGGTTAACTAGGCAGGTTAGGGTAATTAGGCAAGTTTTCGTATAGCAATGTTTTTTATAAAGGGGCTAATAACTTTGTCCTCAAAATGGTGTTAAAAGATTAAAAACTGCTTTTATTCTGGTCGAAATAAAACAAATAAGACTTTCTCAAGAAGAAAAAATATTATCTGACATACTGTAAAAATTTCTTTGCTCTGTTAAACATCATTTGGGAACTATTTAAAAAAAGAGAAAAAAAATTCAACTATATATATAGTAACTGAGAATCTCTCATTTTTTTTCCATGGCTGTATAAATGAATTTAATTTAAATCATTCCTAAATACTTTGTGGCAAAGTTTTTTAAAACCCTTTCAAAATGTGTGCAACACAACATCCGTATGGTTTTTCTTTGTACTTTTATTTTTATAAATATAATCTAATACAGTGACTTATGAGATACATGACCTACATATGCCAAGTCTGTTTTTGCCTGTAGCCCATCATATGAATGGCGGCGTCAGCTGGATGAAACTGTCCAGAAAAAGCGCAAGACCTCTCTTCTATTCGACCACCTAGATGCCTCCACCCTTGCCGAACACCTCACATACATGGAATACAAATCATTCTGCAAAATTCTGGTGCGTCTCTCAATTCACTCACAGCTGTTCTGACCTCGAGTCGGAGTTCATGTTTCAGTTGAGAAAAATGTGTTTGTCCTCCAGTTTCAGGACTACCACAGTTTCGTGATGCACGGCTGCACGGTGGATAATCCCATTCTGGAGCGTTTCATTACTCTGTTCAACAGTGTTTCGCAGTGGATCCAGATCATGGTCCTCAGTAAACCCACAGCCCAGCAGAGAGCAACCGTCATCAGTGAATTCATCAAAGTGGCTGAGGTTAATCTCTTTTGTGTTTAAAGACCTGTAATCTGTTTACTGTCGGCTCCAAAATGATGAAGATCTGGGCTTCAGAATTTCATTTAGAGCTAGAAACAAACTGAAGGATTTTTTTACTATAGATTATTAAATGTTTAAGAATTTCTAATATTAAAACAAGATTTATATTAAACAAGTTATTATTATTATATATCTAGGTCAAGTTTGTGATGAACATGGGTTCCTGTATAGAAGGATGATGTTCTTTGTTGAACGCTACATTATTAACACAAATTAAAAAAGTATTTGTCAAATTGTAGGCCACTGATAAAACAATCAAGTAGGGTTGCACAATATATTATTTCAGTATCGATATCGCAATGTGCATATTTACAATAGTCACATCGCAAGATATACAACGTTGAGCCGGAATTGGAGTTGACCAAGAATTACAGAACACAGAGTTTAACCATGATAGATTGAAAGCTGATCATTTGCATGTGTTTTTAAGGCCTGTCAACTTTGAGCATTCCAAGAGGGTTTAAAAGATTTGGGCACAAGAAATGATGATGTTAGAAGGTGTAACAAAGATTAATTGTATTTAACTATTTATACACATCATTTTTGTCTTGTTTCTAGTCTAAATATCCACATTTCAAAGCAAAATAGATTTTACGTATCTCATTGGCAGATAATGTTGCTTGTTTTAAAGAAAAACTCCCTTAATTTTGACTTATTTGTTTCGAAGGTGAAAAAAAACTTTATTTTTATTTGATCCAATCATTTTTAGATATTTGAACTAGAAATGAGACAAAGCAAAGCAATAAAAGCATTTATTGAATTGTGCTCATTCAAGTTTTCTACCCGAATACTGTTAAACTCCCCAGAAAACTGTCAAATAGACCATCTTGTGAAACTGTATTTATATCACAGTATTTATCAAAGAAAAATAAAATATCACAATATCAGATTTTTCCAATATTGTGCAGCCCTGCAATCAAGTTCATGTTGTGAAAAAAAACTCATGTATTAAAAAACTCCTGGATTTTGGAGGTAGTTATATTCAAGCAAATTTGTGTTCATATGAGCTTTGTAGAAAAGGCCAGATGTTGTTTATTAAGGTTTTTTTTTTATCGCAATCAATCAATCAATCAATCAATCAAGCAAGCAAGCAAACAAACAAACAAACCACTAATTTATTTAAACAAAAATAATGTTGTTTATAATAATTATTATGATTGAATTGAAAGAAAGAAAGATAGAAAGAAAGAAAGAAACAAACAAACAAACAAACAAACAAACAAACAAACAAACAAACAAAAAGAGACCAAGACCTTGAGTATGGTGAGAATGAATGAAGGACAGACTTTAAAAGTGTGTGAGACATCCCCCTTTTTCCCCAGTAGGCCTACCTTGTGTTTTATTTGCTAATGTAAGCTATTTTTTAAAAGATAAATGTAATGTATAAAACTATACGTTATTGATATTACTTCATATTACCTATACGTCTGATAAACTTATTATATTAATGAGCAATGCACAGATATTGTTGTTTAAAAATGTTTTACACTACATTACTTGAATCTAACATGCTTTATAATGTTTACAATATTTACATTGCTCTAAATCCAAAATATCAGAAATGACAACAGAATGTTAAGATTTAATTGATTTTAATTTTAATATTATTGGTTAATGCACTTACTTGACAGACTTAATTCTTTCATTTTCCTTCTGTGTAGTCCCAGGTTAATCAGGGGTTACCACAGCGGAATGAACCACCATCTTACTTGACAGATTTATTTAATTTAGGTGGTTTGTGTAAAATATTTTATGTTTGGTAAAATAATTTCTAAAAGCATCTTTAATGATTTTTCAGCTAATTACAATATCTTGTCCAGATAGGTGGATTTAGAGGTTTTTGCAAAAAAAAAAAAAAAAAAGCACAAGTGGATTTAACGGGTTTTACACAAAAGAAAATCTACCTTGTTAAAGTGACATTCATGAAAAAAGCTATTTTATTTACTAGCTAATAACCTTATCATTAACTATAAAATTCTGAACTTAAAACTTCTGAACCTAATTGTAGGAGCCTGATCTGCTCATTTCCAAAAAAAAAAGAAAGGATGTCTGATGGAATTTGAATGTTTATTCTAATATTTTCAAGTAAGATCATGTAATTATAATCAAAAATTAAAATGGCCAAATGTTCTTCAAGTCAGTTTATCATTCAAACATACAGTACAAAAAAACCATGTACAGTAAATATAAATAATAAATAAATATGTATATATAATTTAGAACAAATTAATAACATATTTATATTTGTAGTAAACATGATCTTGCATTGATACTGCCGTCATAAAAAACAACAAAAAAAAAAATTAAAATTAAAAATAAATTAATGTTACGTAAAACATTTTATGCTAATTTGAATATGATGGTTTAAAGGAAGGTGAGATAGAAGGTCTTATAATTTTGCACCTCAGTATTTTCATAAGTTCTGGTATTATGTTTGGTGTGTGTGTGTGTGTGTGTGTGCAGAGACTGCTGCAGCTGCAGAACTTTAACACACTGATGGCTGTAGTTGGAGGCCTCAGCAACAGCTCCATCGCTCGACTCAAGAACACACAAGCTCTCATCAGCAGCGACACACGCAAGGTAAACACCGCCAGAGCTCTGCTTAACAAACACACCTCCAGCCCTGGCCAGAAAGAAAAAAAATCAAAACAAACAGCTGAAACCCTCCAGATCTGGCCACGGCAGATAAGATTCTCAAAGTCCACTCAGCAGTAAGTGCCATTTTCATACTCTCTGCCAGACTGAACACAAATATCAATACTCGAGTCAAGTGCTCTGCTATCGGGCAAGCAAACGTGAGCTGAAATAACTTGTACTCATGTAGCAACCAGTTAAAATCTCCAGTAACTCTTTTGATTACAGCCTGCAATTTATGGTAAAAAAAAATGCTTTTAAACCAAAGAGTTTGATTTATTTATGTATTTTTTTTTATCATACTTAAAGTTTGTATATGCAGTGGTATAGTGGTGCTTAGAGGAGTGTGTATAATATGAAAGTATGGAGCCAATTTAATTTTTTCGATACATTGAAAAAGTGAGTATACAACTATATATTTATAGTGTGTGTGTGTGTGTGTGTGTGTGTGTGTGTGTGTGTGTGTGTGTGTGTGTGTGTGTGTGTGTGTGTGTGTGTATAAGGGATAATCAATGAATTGTCATGCGTTAAAAGTATTTTAAATGCTCAATGTGGAGGCCAAGAATCACCCCACATGTAGCGGGCAAATCTAAAAGCTCATGGTAACATTTGCTAGCTACCTCTTTGCAAATATTTATTTATTATAAGTTATTATAAGAATTGGGCACAAATGAACACCATGAAGTATTTCATTACAAATGACACAATAATTGTTTAATAATAGTAGTAGTACTATTTTTTTATTCTGTTGAACAAAAAAGAAGATATCTTGAATAATGTTTGAAACCTGTGGCCATTCACTTCCACTGTATTTGTTTTCCAATGTCTAAAAGATCATACGCAGCCATACAATTAATATTTGGGTGACACGGTGGCTCAGTGTTTACTGCAGTTGCCTCACAGCAAGAAGTTGTTGTGAGTTTGTGTTGATCCAAATGTTTAGGTGAATTACTCAAAGCTGAATTTTTGCATCCATTCCTTCAGAATATTCCTGCACAATATTATTTTTCTATGTCCAAGAAACATTTTTATTTTTAATTCATGTCAGTGTTAAAAACAATTAGTTAATTAGTTAGCTACAATTTATTAGCTACTTTAGAAGTGAGTCATTGTATCATTCACTTAACTGACTTAGTCAAAAACACTGATTCATTCAGGAACCAAACAAATCATTAAGCATCCATGTGTGTCCATGGACCATTCACATGAACAATTTGTTTTAAAACACTGATTCATTTAAAGAGTCATTTAATCACTTACTAATTTATTTAAAAACACCAATTCATTCAGTTCATTTGCTTAAAGATCTTGTGGAAATCATGAGACAAGTAACAAATATGAAACAATGTAAAATAATGACAAATGATATGTTGACCATTAAAACAATATGCTCTATTTAATATAAGTTGGCATTTCTGTGTGGAGTTTGCATATTCTCCCTGTGTCGGTGTGAGTTCCATCACAGTTCAAAGACATGCACTACAGGTGAATTGGATAACCTAAATTGGCTGTGGTGTATGTGTGTGAATGAGTGTGTATGGATGTTTCCATTACTGGGTTGCAGCTGGAAGGGCATCCGCTGTGTAAAACCTATGCTGGACAAGTTGGTGGTTCATTCCGCTGTGGTGACCCCTGATGAATAGAGGAACTAAGCCGAAGGGACATGAATAAAGAAAGTTAATATCTATTATAAACATATTTGCAGGTTGTCTCCTGGTGAAGCACATGTTAGTGTCCTCCAGATTAAACAGAAATTAAGGCATTGTCGCTGAATTGCTATAGTTATGACTAATGTTGGAGGGAAGCTCATTTATTTTGACCTGTAATCAAAAAGTGATCAAATAAATGATTTTTCAATACTTATATCTATAATAAAATTGTGTTCCTAACACCATGTTGCAATAGATCAGCTTTTTTGTTTTAATGATAACTCATTCACAAAAGGTCAATTGAGAATACAATACCTATGAAAGAGTTAATAGGACTATATAATATAGTTTTTGGCTAGATGTAAATAAATCAGATGACATATCTTATCTGCGCTGCTCTAGAAGTTGTGAATCTTCATGCTAGTTGATGATTGGTTTGCTAGCAAACTGCTTTATTTTTTTGCGTACTGAAAACTTTAGAAGCAAAATATCAGTATTTTTAGTGGTTGATCTAATTCAGGCATATTCTGCATCGTTTGGCACACAAACAAAAACGCATGTGTTCCTTATTCAGTTCTCTTTAGCTTTATATTTTACCCAGCACAGTCAGTTCTGTCTCGAGTGAGCATAAACAAAAGGAAACAAATAGATTAATAGATTGTATACCCATTGCATGTTTTTCATGTTAAACAAAGAAAATTAGAGAGAAATTGTGCAGCACTGCACTTATTCAAATGATTGCTTTTATTTTGCATGTTTTTTTTTGTGTTTTCAAAAGATGACAATATTCCATTTAAAATATTTCTTGCACAATTATTTATATGGGGCGACATGGTGGCTCAGTGGTTAGCACTGTCGCCTCACAGCAAGAAGGTCGCTGGTTTGAGTCCCGGCTGGGTCAGTTGGCATTTCTATGTGGAGTTTGCATATTCTCCCTGTGTTGGCATGGGATTCCTCTGGGTGCTCCGGTTTCTCCCACAGTCCAAATACATGCGCTATAGGTGAATTGAATAAGCTAAATTGACCATAGTGTATGTGTGTGTGTGAATGTGAGTGCGTATGGGTGTTTCCCACTTCTGTGTTGCAGCTGAAAAGGCATCTGCTGTGTGAAACATATGCTGGTGATTCATTCTGCTGTGTGACTCCTTGTGAATAAAGGGACTAAGCCGAATGAATGAATGAATAAATGAATGAATTATACTTTGATTTAAAGGGATAGTTCACATAAAAATCGGTTATACTTAATACTTTTTCTGTTATACTTTACTCACCCTTGACTTGTTTCAAACCTGCTTGAGTTTTTCATTTGGAAACACAAAACAAGATCTTTTGGACATTGGAAAACAAATACAGTGAAAGTCAATGGCCACAGGTTTCTAACATTCTTCAATTTTTTTTTTTATGTCCAACAGAATAAAAAAATAGTACTATTGTTAAACAATTATTTTGTCATTTGTAATGAAATACTTTATGGTGTTCATTTGTGCCCAATTCTGTCCATCTTCATGGTATTGTCTGTGTTTAATCAGGTGTTTGATGGATTGGTGGAGCTGGTCACTTCCTTTGGAAACTACAGCCGCTATCGTCAGCGTTTCTCTGAATGTTCAGGATTCCGCTTCCCCATCCTTGGGGTTCATCTGAAGGACCTGATTGCCGTCCATGTGGCTCTGCCTGATTGGATCGACCCAGAAAAGACCAGGGTCAACCTAACCAAGACCTATCAACTATACGCCATCCTGGAGGAGCTGGCACTCATTCAAAGCACTCCCCCCAACATAGAGGCCAACACAGACCTGCTCAATCTACTTATAGTGAGTTTGTCATGGGTGGGACGAGTTTGCTGTGATCCAAATGTTGGATCATGTGGTTTATTTTTGTGAATCCAAGCTGAACTTTTACATCAATTACTACTGTCTTAAGTGTTACATGATAGTATTATTTAATGTCCAAGAAACATTTTTTACATTATTTTCAGTGTTAAAAACAGTTTGAGTCATTGTATCACGCACTTAACTGATGTAGTCAAAAGCACTGATTCATTCAGGATCCAAACAAATCACTGAGCGTCCATGCACGTTCATGGATCTGCCACTTAAACAATTTGTTTAAAAATACTAATTCATAACAATCTTGTGGAAATAATGAAACAAATAACAAATATTAAACAAGTAATGACATATGACATGCTGACCATTAAAAATATGGTCTATTAAATCTAAATTTAATAACATGACTGGAATTTGTATGTATTTAATCGGCTGTGTTCTTCTTGTCACGTGACCTACTAGAATCAGTTGCATCACTTTATTTTCGTTCATAAATTCTCTTATGGCCTCATGGGATAATAAAATGTCCATCAAATGTGCGCTTTAGGATTTCATCCGAAGTAGCTATTTGTTTCATCCTTCATGTTTATTTCTATAGCGCTTTTACAATGTAGATTTTGTCAAAGCAGCTTAACATTGAAGTTCTAGTAAATTGAAACTGTGTCAGTCCAGTTTTAGAGTTAAAGTTCAGTCTGGTTTAAATTTCACTGCTGAAAGTCCAAACACTGAAGAGCAAATCCTTCGATGCGCAGTTCCAAGTCCCAAAACCAAGCAAGCCAGTGGCGACAATAGCAAGGAACAAACTTCACCAATTGAAAAAAAAATAGAGCAATCAGGCTCAGTTGGGCACAACCATTTGGTCAGCTGTGGGTACATCGGATATTATCCATTCAGTCATACTACTCAGCTCACATGCTGTTTTCACATAGTATGTAGAAGAAAAGTATGTGATTCACAGATAGCAAAAATGTGCCTCAGACATCCTGTAACAAAAGTGAGGCCACCATTTTGATCATTCCCTGCTGGCTGGCTGTGTTACAGTCCAAAAACACCACCTTCTCCTTGAAAATAAATGGGATGTGAGCCCAACTAAGAAAATAAATTACACTTCAAATAATTATTTAAACTATGGCTCATGGTTTTCCATTATTTTTAATAGTTCTGTGTCGACTGAAATGTTCAACTGTATTTTTTTTCATATTTATGTTTCCTATATTTTAGTTAGTTGATCTTTAAAAAATGGAGTGTGGCCTCTTGATTAACAATTTCCTTTTTTTATTATTATTATTAATTTACCATTTGCAAACATGATTAACATTTTATGGTAAGACGTTAAAACCACACCACTTAGTTAAATCACTACTGCACAGACAGACCATCTACATCCAGAAAACAAACAAACAAACAAAAAATGTCAGCTGCTGGGAGATTTTGGGCTCTATTTTAAAGATCTGGGCACAAAGTCTAAAGCGCATGGTGCAAAAGCATTAAAGGCATGTCCAAATCCACTTTTGCTATTTTAAAAAAAGGGAAAATACAGTTTGGGGTGTATGGTCTAACAGGTTTGTGCTTATTCTCTTAATCAATTATGGGTGTGTTTTGAGTGTAACGTGCATTAAACCAATCAGAGTTTCATCTCCTGTTGCCTTTAAGAGTCACTCGCGTTACACCATGGCGCATCTGCTATTTACATGGCGGACTTTGTAAGTGGAAAAACTGAACACTTCACTAATGAGAAAACAGTTAAACAGACCATCTGCAGCACAAGGATAAAGAATGAGCCTCCTCCATTTGGCCACTGTACTTTCTCTTTACTTTTACTCTTTACTTTACTTCTTTACTTTCGTGGAGTAGGGAAACGGTGGAATCTCACTCCATTAAAGACATTTATAGCCTACATATTTAATTTTGCTTGTTAAGCGCAAAGATTTGTTTAAAAACTATTTCTAAATTCAGTTCAAATTTCCAGAAAACTAATAAATGAACAATAATAACAAGTAATATTGACAAAAAATAATAAGTGTGGTAAAAAACCTGAGTTATATCCAAACACACATCCTATTCTTATGCCTCATATAGTAATGCATACATCTCAAAAACCCGACAGGTGGACAAATCGAAGCTAGTTTTTGTTAAAACAAATATAAAAATGCATATATAAATAATACTGCTAATAATAATAACATTTTACAAATGCAAATTGTCATGAATAAACTGAAACAAGCACCTCGAAATGAAGAAGGCATAGAAGTTAGTGGGTTTTTTTTTATTTATGTAGAAAATAATATTTTTTGTAACATTTTAGTCCTTTAATGTTTATTTATAAGTAAGGATAGTTGTGTATTGCTGTAGGCAATGTGTAAGCACATAGGCACATTACATGTTCTGCGCTGGACTTTCCTTTTTAGACCGGAACACCCACGAGTCCGAAAAGTGGCACAAATTGATTTGCTATTTAAACAGCGTGTTGCAAAACGTGAAAATTAGGGTTGCGCTGGTCTGAAAATAGCAGCAAATCATGCCAAACACATCTTGTGCCTTATTGCACCGGGTGATGATAGGCCCCTTTGAAATCACTGTCTACAGTGGAAGGAAGTAGAGATGCATCATCCAGTTATCTGAGATTTAAGCATGATTGCTGATAAAGTGAGGAAATGTGATGTTATTTATCAAATCTATGTCATGTAAATCACTAATTAATAATCATTTGCATTTCTTCTGTCCCTCTCCAGGTGTCTTTGGACCAGTACCACTCAGAGGATGATATATACCAGCTGTCTCTACAGAGGGAGCCTCGCAGTATTAAACTCTCGGTGAGTCACACACCACCAACATAAAAACTGCTCAGATAGCAAATCAGTAGCCACCATGAGGCAGAAACCACCAATTACAAGCACTCATGACACAATTTGACAGATTAATTTTCCCATGTTGCTTGCGTAATCCACTTACGTAGACTTGCAGCTGGGAGACTGAACCACTACCCTATAATTATTCTGTTCAACCAACGGACAGCAGTCATTTATCCATATCTGCTGGTGCCTTATTTTCACTTGCTAAGTGAATACACCATTGATTTCCGGCCTCTTAGACCTCCAGCTCAAAGTCACAGTCTCCTCTAATAGAACAGTGGGCATCTTCAGTCAAACCCAAAGCGGATCCATCCATTATCAACAAGCACATCGAGAAAATGGTGGAGGTATGTGACCTAAACTACTTTAAATCCTTTATGATTTCTTCTTTTCTGAATAATTAATTGATTTACATTAATTGATTTACATTAAATGAAGTGTATTTTATGGTTAATAAAGAGGTGTAAATAAATGCAAAAATTTGTTTTATGAAAATGCACAGCTATATGCGATACTTCTTGATTGTCAGTTATGTAGTTTACATCATTATCCATTGTTTTATATAGATACAATTGATTCAACCGTATCACTGTATCATATCACTCAGCCTGTGTTTTCTAGACAAACGTTCATTCTGTGATTTTTGGATGGGATTATTTAGTTGTTTACATTAGGTTATATTATAGTAAAACTTTACAAAAATGTTGTATTAGTTATTGTTAGTTAATGCATTTACTAGCATGAACAAACAATGAACAATGCATTTACTACAGTTCTTGTTCATCTCAGTTAACGCTAGTTAATGAAAATACAGTTGTTCACTGTTGGTTCATATTCACTCCTGGTGAATTAACTAAAGGTAGCAAGCATGAATTTGGATGTTAATAATGTATTAGTAATTGTTGAACTATGATTAATAAATGCTGTACAAGTACTGTTTATCATTTGGTCATGCTAATAAATACATTAACTATTAAAACTTATAAGTGTGACCAATAATATTAACCTAAATCATTCAAAAATATGATTTCAATCAGGGAAAATATGTGTGACCTCATCATTCATTTAAGTGATTTGTTCAAAAATAATACATTAATACAAGTCCCAATAATACAACTTATTCAAAAGCTAGCCATTAAAAAAACAAAAAGAAGTAGCTGACCATACGAGTGAGTCATTGAATCATTCACTCATTACATTTATTTAAAGGTGCTTCTATGTTTTTGACTCTTCTAAAGCATACACATACCAAAATATGTTTACAGATATTTAAGAAATATGCTTAGTGCATTCTTGTTTATCTGCAAAACAGTGCTCAAGTCAGTTATTCTGCTTTGAAAATGTAAGTTACGTGCCAGAAGGCCGTTTTTGTTTGGTTCTTTTACCCGCCCACTGCCACTTTAGCCAATTATATTTTAGCACCCCTGGTTGCCTTGTTGGAAAACCGCATATTTCATTCTTTCATTCTGAAAGGCTCTTAAAGCATGCGTCCGTGACCGAAATGCGACCTTCAGTGGACAGTAGCAAACTCTAAAATGAGACGCAGATTCAGAGTTCCACATGAGTTGATTATTAATTAACAAATAATATAAATATTATGAATGTAAACGTAACCCCCTGTCCTAACAACATGCTACGTGACCAGATTTGCAGTAAGTAGCAGTTTAGCTGTTTGCACCAGACGAAACATGACAGAAATTTAAATACAGCCTTTCAGAAGCACAGAATAATGCACTAACTGCACTACACCGAAATAGTTTATAATCTAATTAATATATATATTAAATCTCTTTAATATTATTAAATGTATCCGAGGTGATTATTGTCAGTTTTGTGTTGTTCAGCTGCAAGAAATTGAAGCCGTTTTTAATATATTAATTTGAGGTGTTGGTTAGAACAAAAACTTATTTTACTATGGAAAATAATCCTTATGTCGCGTGCTGTTGCTTTTATTTAAACCATGATTTAAACCTTGCTTTCAGGCTCAGTGGTCAGACTCGCTCCGGTTGGTCCTTAATCTAGCAACCTGCGTTTGCATTTATTTTGATCCAGGAATGCAATACCTAGTTCAACCACTGGGTGTCAAACTTACATACTGCACCTTTAAAAACACTGATTCTTTTCAAATTGAAAGAAGTGATTGGATTTTGCATTGAGTCGTTATATTATTCACTTAACCAGTTTGTTCAAAAACACTAATACATTCATAAACAAAATGTACGAGGGAGTCACAAATAATGGGAGAAGGAAACAGTGTCAGCACAGTGGAAAAGCTGACAAGAACAAAGCAGTATGTGTGATTTGCCATGCTGAGGTGAAATATTGTGGATATGGTCACATTTGATCCTAAATGTAAAATAACATACTTACAGTAGTCCTGTTTAAACAAGCTATGTATTGTATGATGTGCACAGTTATCCAAAAATCAGATTAATCTTTCAGGCTATACACTTTTACATTTTTAGGCTATACCAAAGTCTCTTTAAGGCAAGAAATTTCACTCTGCCATCATCTTTGAAACACCTCTCGGGCAGTATGCTCGGTCTGAATGGAAAAACAGCAAATGTCTCTAAAAATGTTTGCCAAGCTCACAGTTACATCACGTATTTGGAATCATCAATAGAAATAACCAACTTTCTTATAAGTTTAGTTTCTTAACATTCGAATCAAACAAAAATGGCATGTTTTCAGGTTGCCCAAGCTAATGTGCATGCACACTTAAAAGGAACGAGATCACAACACCAACCTCATTTATGGCCGTACACATTATCATCCTCTGGATATTGATTGTCTGATCGCACTGTTCTTCTGAAGTAATTTACAACTTGGTCCTGATGGCAAATCTCCTCCAGAAATGCCAGCAACTCTTTGATGGTTGGCTCCTGTGCTAGTAGACAGGGCTTCATTAGCCATATTGTTACACTTCTCCCCATTCAAAACTATACGAGTGAGTGTATTCTGTAATCTTTGGCTATACTGAGGTGGGCTTTGTTGCTTGTTTAATATGTTTAATGTGTGCAGCAGCAAAAGTCTGTGGCTCTTCAGTTCATTTTTTTTATTAATTTACCATTTGTAAACTGAAGTTCACCCTATTCAGTTTTGGAAATATCAATACTGTTTGAATTAAATCTGTATTCATGAAATCAAGAATTGAATCTGATTAAATTGGATGCTTGTGGTTCAGAATTGAATCAAACAAGGGCATCTAAATCAACACCCAGTCCTAATAGCTGAATAAAAGAGATATCAGACTTGCACAGCACCATAGTGAGTTATAAACGTCATGCCATGGAATAAATTAATTTACGACTTTTTATTTTGCAGTCAGTTTTCCAAAACTATGACACCGATGGCGATGGCTACATTTCCCAAGAGGAGTTCGAGATCATCAGGAGCAATTTCCCCTACCTCGGCAAGTTTGACGAACTGGACCAAAACCAGTGGGTTTATCACGACAATCTGTCCAGTTTATCTAGAGCTATTATTTTGCCTCATTTGTCAACGTCTACAGTACAGTACAGGCCCCCGTCTTTCTCTTTTCTCATTTTCACTCCCAGGGATTGTAAAATTAGCCGAGAGGAGATGATTGAGTACTTCACCAAGGCGAGCTCTTTACAGAACTGTAAGATGGGTTTTGTTCACACGTTTGCAGAGACGAGCAGCATCAAGCCTTCATTTTGTCGCCACTGCTCTCGCTTGGTAAGTACACGTTTTATTTGTGGCTCAAACTCTTTATCTTCATCTCCAACGTGATGATGACAGACCACACATATGACAAGCTGCCAAATGAAATAAGATCATGAGAAAAATCTGCATTTATGTTAAAAAAGGAACACAAGCATATACTGCCTATTTTATGCCTGTGTTTGTTCGTATTTGTCGCTGCTGTCAGATGTTTCTAGTATTTGCGTTTAAAGGTGTGTCTAGGGAAAAGATGTTGTTCTGTTCACAGCTGGTAGTTGGGTGTAGATGGTAACCACTTCCTATTTTCTCATTTCCTGTCAAGATCCACCCCAGCACAGAACCTATTTTCCCTTTTCTCTAGTATGTTTTGTTGTTGTTGTTGTTGTTGATAATGAAGTAGTGTTTTTTAAAGTAATATTGAGCAATGTTTAATCTAATTTATTCTGTGAGTAACTGGATTTCAGTTTTGTGGAAAAAATCTGTTTTATTTACTAAATACTTTAACAATGAAATGTTTGTTTTTCCCCTTTGTTTCTTGAATGTTTTTTTCAGCAAATTGAATAAAAAGTGATATAAGAGGCTGTAATGACATTACAAAGCATTCTGTTTAAAATAAATGGTATTCTATTTGAGTCTTTAATCCATCAAATAACTGTATAGTGTTACGGAGGAGGGGATAAACCTTAATAATACAACAATAATACAAAACAACTTCTGTATATCTGTATGTGTATATATATATATGTATATATATATGTATATATATAAATGTATATATATATATATATATATATATATATATATATATATATATATATATAGTTGAAATCAGAATTATTAGCGCCCCTGAATTTTTACCGCCCCTGTTTTTTTTTTTTCCCCAATTTCTGTTCTGTTCTGGGAAGATTAATTCAGCACATTTCTAAGCATAATAGTTTTAAAAACTTATTTCTAATAACTGATTTATTTTATATTTATACATACATATATACACACACACACACATACACACACACACGTATATGCATTTCCAGAATTTTCAACCCAAAAATCAGCAAGACTTTACTTTGACTTTACTGAGATTGTATTTTTTAGTATTGCCTAAAAGATAAGCGCATCAAGTAAAGTAGTAAAGTAAAGTGTTAAAGTTTTGGGTTGTTTTGTGCTGTGTTGCATAGGTCATTGTGTCTTCATGTATGCTAATTCTTGCAGATATGGGGATTTTACAATCAGCGATGCAAATGCAAAGGTATGAAACCAACTCTTCAAACCAACTCAACCATTGAACTACATTAATCAGTTTTTTTTTCTGTGTAAATGTGGCTTTGTGTGTGTTTCAGTGTGTGGAGTGAGCTGTCATAAAGACTGTGTGAGTCGTTTGGCCATTGAGTGCCGTAAGAGAACGCAGAGTGTCAGTGTTTATAATGATGTGTCCTCAAAGGCCACACGCTCCTTCAGCTTTCCACCTCCACAGAGCACTGAGACCATAGCAGAGAGCCCAGGTAAATCTATACACAAGTGTGCTTCAAAACAACACACACACACACACACACTATACCATATAATTATACAAGCCAACTCATACTGACTGTGGGTTCCAAAGAAAATATAAAGATTAAAACTCAAAATAAAAGCCAAGGTTTTATGATTTTAAACGTAAAAATGTTAAATAAAGAATAAGGACATTTTAATGATCTTTTTTTATGCCAAAGATTGGTTGTTCATTGTTATTTTTGTTGCTTTAAACATCTAATCAACAGGGTTTTAGGATTTTAAATATTTCGTTTCAAATATTCATTAATTCATTTTCTTGTCAGCTTAGTCCCTTTGTTACTCCGGGGTCGCCACAGCAGAATGAACCGCCAACTTATACAGCACGTTTTTACGCAGTGGATGCCCTTCCAGCCGAAACCCATCTCTGGGAAATCGTTTAAAATATATTAGATGATAATGGATTAAATAATTTTTTTGTTTTTTTTGCTCAGAATTTGATTCAAACTTAGTAGAATTTTAAAAATGTTTTTATAACAATGCAAAAAAAGCCAATTAATCAAAATTAACATGGTGTTAAAATTCATTAAAAAAAATCACATTTATTCTGATGAATACAATTTTGTTTTTGCAAAGAATGAAATAATAAAAGAATAATAAATTGATAATATCATGCTTGAATCTATTTGGAAAAGAGCAACTCCTTTTTTAAAGGGTTTAGTATATAAAAAATAAATACAGTTATTAAATAACTGGATTTTTTTTTTTTACTAAAAATGTAACTTGACAGCATTATAGCATTATTTTTAATATTTTACTAATTTAACCATCAGTTTAATACAGGGTTTTTAGTTTTACATGATTTACAGTTTATTACAAAGACACAACTTCTACTTTATACTGTATTTGTTTAATGTTAAACCTGGAAATAAGTTAGAGTTCCAGAATGTTTGAATGAACAAACTAATGAATGAATGAATGAAACGTTTTATGAATATTTATTAGTAATATTAACCCTTATGTTCTGTTGGGGATGTATTCATCCATCCTGGGGTGATTTTGATTCTTAATTTGGCCATAACCTTTTCTCTGTTTAAGCTAGCGGAATTATATTTAATTACACATATTTTGAGAAAATACTTAAACTCAACACAATTCCATTATAAAAATTTTTTTTTTGCAAAATTTTTTCCCTAGTTGGGAAGAAGTAAAATTTGTCATTGTTACTGCTGATCATCAGTTGGCACCATTAACCCAGGTCTTAGATAGGCCTGTGCAAAAAAGCGTAGTTTTTGGATTGTGCATGTAGTCATTCATTCATTCATTCATTCATTTTCTTTTCGTTTAGTCTCTTATTAATCAGCAATCGCCACATTGGAATGAATCGCCTGTGTATGGCGTATAACAGCAAATTAAAGTGTGTGTATGTATGTCTGTGAGTGCGAGAGTGACCTTTGCACTTACCTTGATGTGTCTGAGAAAATCTAAATATGCATCTCAGCTTTTAGAACTACATGGAGTAAACAAAAACAAAGATTGTGTATTTATGCACCATCAAATGTGGTTATAAAGGAAGTCTATGGGGCAAAAACAGCCACCAACAGTAAATTAGGGAGAAAACAAATAAGACAATATTGTTACTAATCATTCACATGTCCAAGACAGTGATAAAAGGTAAAGAAAATCCAGTCCACAGTTACTTTTTATATGAAAACATGTTATTTTAGTTTTTTTTTTTTTTTTTTTACCAATCAGTGATATCATATGTGAATTTGGCAATTAATGAGTTAAAATCCTGTTTATTTATTTATTTATGTGTTTATTAAACATTTAATAGTCCTCAGTTTTGATGAGGACTGAGGTTGATTATGCCAAAAAAAATTTATCTGATGCATTTTTACAGCAATTAATTTAGTGTATGTTTTCATAGTTTGTAATATATTTTAAACATTTATTTCAGGGCTGCATTTTAAGAAAAAAATAATAATGGATAAATAATTTTATTATAATTAAATTATTTTTTATTATTATTTCAAAAGTATTTTATGCTGTCAGGTTAAATAAAATGGATCATTTCTGAAGAAGAAAAAAACTGCAACTGAATTTTAATTAAAAACATGCATATTTTTTAATAAACTCACTAAACAGTTATGTGTAGTAAACCATGCTGTTGATGTTTTGAAGAATAAACAAAGCTAATAACTCACACTTTCTCTGCAGTGATCTGCACAGACCCTTTGCAGGATCAGGATGAGGTTTTTGATGTCTACCTTTGATGAGATCTGAAAAGATGATGTATATTGCCAACACAATCACCTTCTGCTTGAGAGCCTTTTTATTACCCCATTTTCATGAAGAGAAATCCATCACCTGCCATCAGATACTGTATGTTCCTTTCCGCTTCGTTCCCAGAGGATGCTCTTGGAGAAAGCCACTCTTTTCCAGTGAGGTCCATGATCTTCAGAGCTGCTGCACTGGAACTTCTCATCCACTGCTGAGCAGAACTAATACATGCAGGGTATTTGTGGGGACTTTCGCAAAAAGTCTTAAAATGTCTTAAATTTAAAAAAACACAATTTTAGGCCTTAAAAAGTCTTAAATTCATTGAAATATTATCTTTTATGTTTTAATTTTACTTTGTTTACGTAAAGCCACCCAATTGATCCAAAACAAATCCAATAACCAACAACACATCTTAACTTTTAGCAAAACTACTCATAACTAGTATTATAACTGTAGTCCGTTGTTCGAACGTTTAGTTTTTTAAAGAGTTTTTTTTTTTTTTTTTAAGTAATGTTGAACAAAAATGTATTCATACAGTTGAAGTAAGAATTATTAGCCCCCCTTTGACTTTTTTTTTTTTTTTTCATTTTTAATTATTTCCCAAATTATGTTTTACAGAGCAAGGACATTTTCACAGTATGTCTGATAATATTTTTTCTTCTGGAGAAAGTCTTATTTGTTGTATTTTGGCTAGAATAAAAGCAATTTTAAATTTTTCAAAAAACAATTTAAGGTCAAAATTATTAGCCCCTTTAAGCTTTATATTTTTTCGATAGTCTACAGAACAAACCATGGTTATACAATAACTTGCCTAATTACCCTAACCTGCCTAGTAAACCTAATTAACCAAGTTAAGCCTTTAAATGTCACTTTAAGCTGTATAGAAGTGTCTTGAAAATATCTAGTCAAATATTATTTACTGTCATCATGACAAAGATAAAATAAATCAGTTATTAGAGATGAGTTATTAAAAATATTATGTGCTGAAAAAATCTGCTCTCCGTTGGGGGAAAAAAATAAAAAGGGGGGCTAATAATTCTGACTTCAACTGTACAACTGAGGTCTGCTTGTTCTGACACATTATTTAAAATATGTGGCTGAGAAATGACTAATTACTACTAATGACTAATTCTGCTGGGCCATAAAAAATCCTTAGCGCCTAGTCTGAATTTTCAGTCTTTGTGGTCTTACAAATGTCTTAAATTTGACTTGATGAAATCTGCAGAAACTATCTACACTATAGTTTTACAGTGTCCTTGTAACAGCATGTGTAAGTACAGAGGGATATTAATAACTTACTTGTGTTAGGCTGTTTTAGGTTTATTAAAAGTGATCCGCATAATTTAATGCTATTATTATTATACATGTTATTTAATGTGTAACAAGGCCAAGTGTACTGTAAAATAGTGTTACCAAAATAGTACCACAGTTAAATTACATACAATAAAAGGTAATTTTGTAATAATATATAATTATTATAAACATTCTAATTGGGTCATTTATAATATTTATATATTTTTAGATTATTTTAAAAATTAGGCTAAAATATGGTATGAGTGTAAGAGCTTTATTTTGTTTGTAATAATAAGCTTGAAATGTTTATTTATAAGTAACAAAATTAGTTTCAGATTTAGATTCATAATTTGTTTGATGGTTTTGTAATAACCTTGGTGATGAAGAGGCTAAATTAAGAGGCCACTTTTCTTCTGCATTTAAATTGAAATTTTTATTGAAAATATAATTTAGAGCATCTTGTCCCCTCATAAATTAACCAAAGCATTGCGGTGTGTTTAGATACTTTTATATTTTCATTTGTAGACAACACAACAGCAATATTTTTAACCAAAAATAATTATTACAACAGTATGTCAATGATACTGACGCAACTGGTATATGGCCAGATCATATTTGACAACAGTGATACTATTCATATAACCGAGAATCCTCTTTTAATACTGATTCATGTAACGGCATGATTTCACTGACCTTTCTGACTCCCCTGATATGAATGATTATGAGGCGAACACAAGGTCAAATGAATGACGGTGACAGACAGCAGTGAATCTCTCATCATTAAAGACTCTCGCTTCCCGCCAAGAGAAGGCGCTGTTGTTCTAACCTGACAGACCGGCGAGACAAACTCCCGCGCGCCTTATTTGCTTTCTGTCTTTACATGTAGATTATTATTATTCAGATGAATCATTAGTTTTCTTTGATGTACATTTACATGTTTTGCCGCGGAGATAGATACATGTATAATGATCTGGCCCTTTCATCAAATGGGAACATTCTGCTGAGGGAGAAACGATTGTCACGTGACAAATAAGAGCTACTTTTCATTTAATGTAAAATAAATATTTAGTGTCCAATGAATGTGTTTGTAAAGTTTCATCTCAAAATGTCCAGCATACACCATCTATTGTAGCATTATATTATTTATTACCTAGAATAATGTTTTGAAAGATAATCATAAATATTTTAAGGTAGGTAGGTACATTAATGTTTGAGGAGTTAAGTTGATTAAATTAAATAGCTACCACGTTACTGCTCTGTTTTAATTAGCAAATAAACATTCATTCATTTTCTTTTCGGCCACAGCAGAATGAACCGGCAACTTATCCAGCACATGTTTTACGCATTGCATGCCCTTCCAGCTGAAACCCATCTCTGGGAAACATCCATACACAACTAGCAAATAAACCTTACATTATTAATAATGTAAAAAAAAAAAAAAAAAAATCTGTCACCTGAACAAGCAGTCTATATTTATTGTGTGTTTATATATGACACTAAAAGTAAGCACTTTCTGGGTAAAATGACCACAGTAAAGTAAAAAACTCGAGCTAGACAGAGCAAACTTTAGCCATATTAACCCAATGTTAACAACAAAAAGACATTGGGGAAAAGCATTAAAATAAATATGAAGTAACATGAGCCTGGACATTTCCTTAAAAATAAATGACTAAATTTAACCACCATGTCCTCAGTGGCTCAGATATATTGGATGACTCTTACAGTACGTTAACTGGTCCATCCAACAACAAAACACTATCACTATCCTTTGGCTTAGTCCCTGGTTTATCACAGCTCACCACAGTGGATTGAACCAACCAAATTACTCTGGCATATATGTTTTATGTGGCAGATGCCCTTCCAGCCTCAACCCAGCTCTGGGAAACACCCAAACATTCTCTCATTCACACACACACACACATACAGCCAATTAATTTTTATTCAGTTAACTTATATCCCATTTCTTTGGACTGTGGGGAAAACCGGAGCACCTGGAGAAAACCACGCTAACACAGAAAGAACAAGTTAGCTCTACACAGAAATGCCTACTGGGACTCAAACCAGCAACCTTATTGCTGTAAGGTGACTGCTAACCACTGAGCCACCCTAACAACAGAACATTTGTGGTGTTTTTTTTTTTTTTTTTTTTTGGGTGCTATAGCGAGTAAACAGAAATGTTTAACTGTAGCAATACTGCTATGCATGGAAAATCCAGATTAAGGCTTCACTTATGGCTTGTTTCCACTGAGCGGTTCTGTTCGATTAAGTACAGCGCAGTATGAGACACTTTTATTTCTACTTTCACTGTCAGAAGTACCAAAGTAGTGAACTGTGCCATATCTCTTTTTTGGGATCCCTTCATAAGGGTACCTAGCATAGCACTGCTAAAAAGGTTGGAGCTAGACTCACTGCTGAATGCTACTGGTTTATAGAAAATTATCACGTGTGTTGTGCTGTGCAACATACACAAACACAATAGAAAATAAGAAACACAACGTCATATTAATACAGTGACAGCACACAGCAATGAACCATGCTCAAACAAAGGCCGAACAAAACTTGTAGAGCTTTCAACGGTGAACAAGTATGTCATCAAATGTCATATTCTGGTGTATTCTACACTCACCGAGTAAGTGTTCTAAATGCCTGCTGTACCTTGTGTTATTAACGGAGTGCTCTGTGTGCCTACAGTTAAAAAAAACCTTAACCCTTGTTTTCTGTGTGATCTGCTCTTAGGAGTACTATTGGCAGTGGAAACACAAGCCTGATCTGGGTGACCTGTACCGAATCATACTGCACTAAACTAAACTGTACCGTACCGCTTAGTGAAAACAAGGCTTGTCCCCTTCCTACATTACAAGAGGAACAACATCTGAACAAATGTAAGTTCCTGGGTTAATTGATGCACCAGCAGGGACCCAAGTATAGCATTTAAATACAAAAGTAGTCAACTTTTATTATATGTTCTATTTAAAAGAAACAGACGTTGAGACTGTCTGTGGATGCTGATTAAGAAACCACATCATAGACTGACTTCTTCTCTAGGCAAACTGAAGAAAAGTTTGAAGGTTTTATTCCCAGCATCGCACTATTTACTGCACACAGCCTGCTGTGTGAATCATGAGCTGAAATTGGCCTCGATCAGAGGGTTAATCTAGCAGGTTGGACCTTTAGCTGCAAAGCTGCAATTACGTTCCCAGTTAAGTTGTGCTTGCCACTACATCAACATGGGCTTTTAAGGTGATTTTTGTAACACTTGGGTGAACCTTGTCAGCTGGAGTGCAGAAATTGCTATTGTTCATGTCAGTGTGGCTGACGGTGTGGGCAGGGCTTAAAACATGGCCATTTATGCCACATTATGTGCTCAAGACCTCCATTAGTGTCTGTGGCATGTCAAGTATTTTTTTATACACTGTGAAAATGCTGTTTAATTTATGGTGAACCGTATAGGTTCACTCAAATTCACGGAAAAATAGCAACCCTAACATTTGAGGGATGATGAGAGGCTTTGTTCCGCATGTATATTTCAGTTCATGACTGTAAGTGATAATCAGAGAAGAAGAAATTTAGCATATATTTGTACAAGAGTTCTTTTTAGTTCTTGAATTTGATCAGCTGACAGCCTTTATATACATATCATTTTTATATAATTATAAATGTAACTGGAAAACAATGTAGACACAAATGGAGTGATGCTAAGATCATCTAAAAAATATTTTAAATTAATAATCATTTAATTTGAATGGAATTCTATAGAAAATTCTATAGAACACAAAACAGATGAGTTATCTGATAGAATTATCTGTTGTGTGTTGTCTTAGACTCGACTCAAGGCTGAGAATTAGGTTTAGTCCTACCTCCCAGACTCATCGTCCCTCCTTTTTGGTTCATACAAAAAATCTATCAGGAGCATGCTTAGTCTAAATAAAATCGCTATCGTGTCATTTAAACTTTGTGTTGTCGATTGGCAAAACTCGGTGCATGCTGACACTTAAAAGACTGTAATGGCTGTTTCACAATGCATGACAGGCGTGGCTATTTTTCGATGTGCCTCAGCAATTGGCTACTAGCGACACCACTGAGGCCAACCATCGAGGACTTCCAGGGCAAGACATACACTTACTACACAAATAAATTTCATTACGCATGCCATAGGAGTCACAGTGGGTGGCACCTTCACCTCACAGCAAGAAGGTAGCTGGTTCGAGCCTCGGCT